GGAAGACGCTGGGCGACGTATTTGCCGGGAGGGGCGACCTCTACTCGATCCAGCTCGCAGCCATTCACTTTACTGATGAGTTAACCACATCTTGGTAATTTGTGTAACAGAATACTTTCGTTGTATTGTGTTTAAAAAAACAATCATTCTGGGAACCCTTAAATTCACGTGTAACTGTTCAATGTTGGATTGTGAAACTGAAGTTGGCGAGAAGTCAAAACTGTATGGACTTAACGGAATGAATGAACAGTCAATATTGTAGCATGTAGACCCGTAGCTGGGTAATTGCTCTCTAAACAACCTCCGCTGCTAGGCAACAGATTCCTAGCATGGACAAGTAGACTAACTAGGAAGCGGTTTTTTTCTGCGCGTTCCTCGAAGAAACAGAGGAACGGTGTTTTGTGTCCGGCCCGTGCCGAGATGTTATGACCAGTTATAGTTAGTGCAGTGCATGGAAGTGAAGAGTTGGTTGGTGAATTAGTTATAGAACTGCAGTCCAGTCGTGAGCTGTTGCTATTAGAAGCACGTAGCTGAGGCACGGCGATAGTTCGGGAACCCAGAATAAGGGGAACGTCCGCCGTTGGAAGCCGTTATCAGGCAGTGACTGGTGAAGACACATATGCGGAACTTTTTTTTTCTCTCAGGTGAATATTTAGCGAGGTGCTGCAGATATGCCAGTAGGTCATGTGAAGTCTTCGTTAAATATATTCTATCTAAATGAAAACTTGAAATGACGTGGCAGCTTTTCGTTGAAGTCTCAGTAATCAAATTCATGAAGCTCCGTCTACCGGTTCTCGAGTTGCTTGATTCGTACAGACGGACAATCGAATTTACGTGGGCGAATTCCTCGCAGCGGATAATTCTTGTAGTCTAATTCCTTCAGACGTGTAATAGATACTAAGTTCATAATAGTGCCCCTTCTTAGCGGCCGACATTGGAAACTAAGGTACTATGAATATACCTCATTTTATTTTAGCCTGTAAGTAGCAGAGTGAAATGTTACGTTTCGTCCGATCGGAGGAAACGGTTGTTTCATTACTGTCGTATTAATGCAAGATTAGGTATTGACGTAATTCTCCGAAATTACCGGTGGGACATTATTACCATATAACGACTGCGCAAAATTACTCCACGCTGTTTAATTGGACAGCGCAACTATTTTGCAAAGGCTGATTGTCCCTATATGATATTGTTGAAATTTAAGGTGGCCTGGCGCGTAAGCCTCATACATTGAAATGTCTACTGTGACGGGCACGGAAATCAGACTGGCTTGCATTAAGCAGGACTCTTTTCATTTTACTAGAGGGTCTTACTTTTTCCATGGGGGACTCATCTACAGATGCAAGCAGAACTTGGACTCCGTAGTCTCCACCCTTCGCTCATGATTTTAGTCACACGTCATGAGATATGAACTGCTTTTCGAAACAAGCCGCAGTCGCGTTGGCTCTCTCGTTCGGGTGATAAGGTGTTCGTAAAAGCTATGAACAGCGGTTGGTGCCTTTGACCCATCTCTTTTCATAAACGATTTATCAATAGGCAATAGAGCTTGAGTGTGACTTCACAGTCCACTGTTTTTGTTTCCCACCGATTTAGTGCCTTTCTACGGGCCGTTCGTCTAATGGCTTTGGCGACCCAATTAACTACCGTTTTACATGCTGGATCCCGGGTTGCTTGCCACAGTTTCCTTAACTTCCGCTTATGTTTTAGGAGTCTCTTCAGACCAGATAGATCTATATTTACGCTCGAGAGTATAAGTCTGCTTGTCGATAGCTTATACGTCGAAGCTACAGAGGCAGTAAAGTCGCGGGCCGCTCTATCGGCTTCTTCCCTCGAGTTAATTTGGATTCTAGGTGAAATTAATTCAGAGGACAGGCTTTGAAACTGCTCGCAATCTGAATTTGTCAACCAGATCTAAAAAATGTATGGTTCTAGCATGATTCAGTAAGTGGAAAACGATTAGTAGGTGATCTGAGTCCAGAATGTCAGAGACAGTGACTTGACAGTCGGACATTCTTGTGCACAAGAATATCGAGCACGTCACCATTTCCCGCAGCAGAGTATTGAGTGGGACATTGTGATGCTGAAATTTCAAATTGATTTAGATGTAACAAATTCAGTAGTTTCGCGCCTGAAGTATTGGAAAGTTCACTATTCCAAAATGGATGTTTAGCATTCAGACCTGCTGCCACTAGCGACTTAAGTCTAAAGCTTAATAATACATTGACTTCTGCATCATTCCAAGCGTGGCCTGGTGACTGCTACAAGTAGCACTTCACTATTACCAGTCGGTATGCAGACTCGTAGGCTTCTTTTGAATCAAGAGGTAGCAGGTCTGCATGGTTGTGGGGAATGCCCTTTCTCACTGCAACGGCAGTTCCCGCCTTTTTCTTCCTGGGAAGCGGTCGGTCCGATACGAGTGACAATTCGGAATAACGAAGCTCTCAAGGGGTATGAGATGTGTCTCTGAGAGCGGGGACGCATCTGTATGTAAGTCTTGAAGCTGTTTACTGGGCTCATATCGCTGTCTCCAAATGTTATTTGCATTAAATGAATGCTATGACGTGAACGGCCTATGAACTCTCAGACCTTGTGTACCATTTTTATAATGACCATTGTTTTATATTTTTCTGAGACAGCTTCTCTGTGCTCTGTCATGGTGTGTTGCACTACAGTGGCGACCTTTAACATGTCACTGTTAGACGAACTGGGGCTTGTACACCCAGTAGCAGATGCTGCTTCACGGGGTGCCGCAAGCTTTTCCCATCTGTCTGCGATGCATATGGTTGCTGATGCGTGTTTTGACGCAGTGTAGCTGCATAGGATTGCTCTGGTGAGATACTTAGAGAAGGGCGTTATGCCAGGGGATCCCTTGGGAGCTCGTTGTACTCTTCTCCTTTCGCATGGCTGCAACCTCTGTATGACGCTGGATGAGGTTTCGCTCCCCCGTGTAGGATGCAATTGCAGAAACTCGACGTAGGTTCTGTGTTTATTTCTTTTTCAGGGCATTTCCTGTGCAGGTGACCACCGCACCACAAACGTTGAAGGGGTTGCTTGCAGTTGGCCTAGAGGTGGCCAGATTTTTGGCAGTTTTATCATTGCGTTAGGCCAGTCTGAGCTCTGTACAACTTAACCTTGATAATACGTAATATGGTTAAGGCTAGTCAGCTTTAATATCTCGTAAGAATTTACATTTCTTGTTAAGGTAACAAGTAGTAGAGGGAAGGGTTCCACGTGTGTTTGTCCGTTGGGTGCTGTTCGAGTGGCCGTCATTAGCCTCACGCTGATGACGTTGAAGCCTAAGTCCCCAGAACTTTGGAAATGTCATCCACTTTCGAGTCTAGGGGAAGTTGACGAATTACTGTCTTTGTGGACTTTTGGAATTTGGGGAGAAGTTAAAATAGTAGAGATTATTTTTCTCCAGGTGGGATTTCATGGCTGAATAGTCTGCCATTTATTTTATTATGATACGGATTCTATTTCGTGTTTTTCGGAACTCGTACTCTCCTTTGGCGTGCTCTTTTAAGTCGCTTTGGAGGAGAATGAAGTTTGGGTAGAAGTCATGATTAATGGTGGCGGCCCACTTTTTTCTGGGAACCGTCTGCTCCGGCAGGGTGTGTTTTGCTTCAGTAGTCTCCGTGTCCATGCCAGTAGTTATGAGAGGTGCGAAGAAATTTGGAGTTAACACCATTTTGGAGGCAGCTTGACAGATGCGGATTTTAGGTTTGGTTTTAATCGACTTCTTGGCTGTCTGTGAGGTATTGTTAGGGATATGCCCCGGTCGGTAGGTTACATGGCTGCTGGCCGTTACCAGCACAGTTTTTCCTGGCTTCACTGTCCTCGAGAGTGAAGACCTATCAAGATGCTGTCAAAAGTTTAAAGGAACTGAAGGAATTTGCCGTACAACGGAATGATTCAGACATCATTAGTGTAATTTCTCAAGTTAAATTGTTTGTGGAAAGTCAAGCAGCAAGAGAGTAAACTGCGTGCAAAAACTCTCAGTTGTGGTAAAAATATAAAAAGTGAGTACTGACATTTTTTTTTTCTGATCAGTTGAATGTTTGCATGTGTTCAGTGATTATAGTGTGAATAAATTAATGAGTATGGTGTTTTGTTTTGTCTCAAATGCATGCGTGCCCTGGTTTAATTATTGTAGTATACCCTGATTAAACGGAAACCTGGCTTCAGCGGAAAAATGATCTGGACTCTTGAGATTCCTTATAAGACAGGTTTTACACTATTAAGAATCGCTGGGAGACTGCTGTAATAGAATAAGATGTTTATAAGACCGTCCCTCTGTAGCACAGTCTTGTAAACATCTTATTCTATAATAGCGATCTGCCTAATGAACATTGCCTAGGTCTTTTTTTGTATTTACAGTTACTCTTATTTTTCACAATAAACAAATTATTACGGCTGTCTGATATCTACTCTGAAGTGAAATATCTTTCGTTTTAAATTCATTCCACCGTTAATTTGTTTTACTTCTACTTTCGAAGGTGAATTATATATATATATTTACATTAAGCAAATTTTCCGCTACTCCATTGGCTATAGCGCATTGGTTTTACTAGTACCCAAATTCGGAATGAAGTAAATAAAATAATATGCATTTTATGTGCTTAAGACATACTAGGAAAATGAAAACTGTATATTGACTAGAATCAAGGTGAAAAATCTGAACGCGCCTGAAATGTTGCATTATACGTGTATTTCCTATCTTGTTACATTTGTATTCGATATAATGGTTCTGTAGTTTTTGTTGTATTTGACAGTTGTGGTGTAGTTTACACTTGGTAGAGTTAGATAATTTTCGTTTTGATTACGATTTTACGAGAAATAAATGATCCCATTTTGGTGAATGTGATAAAAGGCTGACCTGTGATTAGGCAGTATGTGAAATATGGTGCGGTCCGAAAGCATTGGCACGGTGGAACCGAAGGAGAGGAAGAGCAGAAATGAGAGTTCGTTTACCACGTGATTCCTGAGAGGATTGGTGGAGAAGTCAGTCGCTGGTCAGTGTAGAGTGACAGTGTTTGCAGGTTGCTGTTGTTCATGAAATAGGGACAACGTGGCAGAGCATATTTCCTAGTGCTGTACTAAGTAAAGCAAACAGATTTGCCAGAATAATTTTATTTAACGGGGAAAGAAGACACGGTTCTAATATATGACAGTTGTGTGGCGTGTAAGAGAAATGCTAAGTTTTATAGCGTATGAAAACTTTCACCTGTATTTCGTAGGCTATTGGAGTTACATACTCTAGCGTCTGGCAAGTAATGGAAACCAGTTGTATTTGACAGCTGGCGAATGACATGTGGCAGTTACATGAAAATCTCTTGTAATTTACGAAAAATTTGTAACGTAATGTGTTATGCAGTGTGCGTGATACTGTGTCAGGTGAAATCTGTAATCACTGATACATGAAATTTTCTGTTACCGTGCTCAGTTGAATCGGGTGAGATAATCTTAGTATTAAGCATACGAAAACCCGGACATATTGTATGCAGTCATACATTTGGCACTGTGCGAGGTAGAAATATGCTAATTGTTTATTGACAGCAATCGAGCAATATGTACGTATGTATTATCACGTCTGGAAGTCGTTAACCATTTACTTCCAGATTTGTGAAATTGTAGGACTACTGGCAAGGTTAACTCTTCGTATTTTGACGTAGATTTCGCGTTTCTCAAATTTTATTTCAGTAAGGTTAGATTGGCTTAGTCAATTTTGTGTGAATTATGTAGGTCTGATAAGCGTAAATAATAAATTAATTTTGGGAGAACTTTGGCGGAAATTACGTGGGTGCATAGGCCTACTATAGAGGCCCATATGTATGGTTACTGCGATTGTTCCAAATTCTGATTTGCAAAGTATGTCATTCCAGTTCACGCCATGAAATGTTGATTTCAGCACGGTTCACTGAACTCTTGCCCCATGTATGCAGACCCAGTGCATTCAGAATGTTTCCTCCCGGCGCCCTGTTAACGTACAAAGTAGCTGAAAGGTAGCATGAACGAATCCGGCTTTGCAGAGCATTGCCGTCTTAAAATATGAGAATGAAAATTGAACGAATAAACATGTGCTGGAAGGAGCAAATGTAACGTAGTCGTTTTGAACTGAAGATTCTTATTAGCCCACTAATGGAAAATAAAACTGAAGAGAATGTAGGAGCTAATGAATTAGTTAGAAAAAACAATCCTGTGAAAAGAACTCGCGTACCCGATCTGACCGACGAGGATATAGAAGAGGACTACGAATCTTTGGAGTATGAAGAAGACTGCTATTATTCATACGTAGCAGAATCAGGAACGCCAAGTTTTGACCATTGTTGGCCCGAAGATGGAAATTTCGTTGAAAATTTGCCTGCATCTGGACTAGATGATTCACTGGCAGCCGAAGTGGACCCTTTTTGCGTTGAAGCTGAATTTTATTCAAAACCCGCCAGCAGAAAAGCGAGAAGTGTGAGAGTGACATTTCAAGACCTTTCTAAACCGTACTTCGCAAAAGTCAGCAGTCCCCGCAACTACAGGCGTTTTCTGCAGTTGGTGAAAGGTAAAACGTTACACATTATTTGTCGAATTATTCGGGTAATTCTCTCCCTTTCCCGACCTAATTTTTAACGCTCAAACAGAAAGGAGAACATATATATACATTGCATAAAACCGAAAATGAAGTCAGAATTGAACTGAGTATGTTACATTTTTGTTTTCGGCTGTAGGCATGTAGTTAAGCATCAAACTAAACTCATGGAGCTGAGTCCTTCGTGAGAAGCCACCACTCGCTCGGCTACTCTAAAGAATTTCCCAATAATTTTCATTTCATGCATCCTGTTGTGTTATAATATACAATTTCTTCATTAAGACCGTCACAACACAACTACGTGTATATTAAGGTCAGTGCCTAGTTTGGCTCTGCTACATGTTTCGGCTATTAAAAGCCATCATCAGGCAAATACATGGCTAACATATATACACCACTGAACTGCAGTACTAATAAAATTCGATACAATAATATTAAATAAACACTTGGTGTAAAATATAATAAATTAGATTAAATAAAACAAAAGTTATATTATAAAACAAGAATAAAAATTCTTTTACATCATCGAGTCAGTCGTTGGTTTTTGTGATTTTGTTGTGTTCCTATGGACAAATTGGAGTATTCTATATTTTGTGCATATATAATAAATTGTTTTGGAGGGTCGTGATGTAGATATAGTAATATTAATGTTAATCATTTAGTCGGTGCCTCATCTTACAAAGTATTAACCGTTCTGTAGGGAATATATTTTTTTATTGCCTGTTGGGTGGGACTAAGTCCCTTGTACTGCGGCCACTTCTGGCCTATTGTAGCAGCCCAAGATGATAGGTGAGGGTGATTGTGGAGCAACTGGTGGGATGAGGATTGGCAGGGGAAACCGAAGTACTCGGAGAAAACCTACCCAGCGCCACTTTGTCCACCACAAATCCCACTTGACCAGACCCGGGATCGAACCCGGGCGGTGGGAAGCAAGCGACTAACCGCTTGAGCTATGGCTCGGCCTGTAGGAGTCTGCACCATAAACGTACATTTTGACCAATCTGTCAAGACCTTCGTTCATAGGATAAGTATTAGGATCATTACTTTGTGGGCCTAAAATTGCGTTAGTAAAGTTTTATGTAGAATAAATCAGAGACACTTCCACTTACTGAGTCACTGGTTATAAGTTACGGAATAGCACAGATGTTGGCCTAATAATACGCATGGACTAAATCAGCGTATTTCTCAGAAACTTGTTGTAGGTGTGAGACATGAGCTAATAGTTTTTGTCCCGTTGACGTCGTGCTATCTCGCCGTAAAAAAAAACCGATTCCAAGCCGAAATATACGATTGTTCATATTGTTGTTTTACATTCTGCAAAACTAAAACAAAAAATGCCGGAACAAAAGTAACATATCGTCGAACAAATGTTAAATGTATAATTTGAAGGCCATGTGGCGGTAGTGTTGCGTGTATCTCGGAAGTTTGCGCGGTCAGCATGTTTGTATTAACTCGTCGTAGGTAAAAATGGAGCCTAGGTGACCTACAGCGACCCAGTGTTTACGTCAACTTTTGTGAAAATTTGAAAGATACTTAACCTAACTTAAGATAAGAACTCATAATTGTAGCATATTTATCATTAGGTCTACGCATGTATTCATTGTGCGCGTTGAAATGTATCCTAAATGTGAACGTGGAAGATCCTCTGAAAATTAGGAGATTGGACACTATCATACTCGTATTAGCATAGCCAAAAACTGCAGGAAGTTAATCACTTGTGATGGGCGAAGCGGAAGTTGCAGGCGGCCAACAAATCGAATTAATTTCCGTTCCACACAGGTTACGATTAAGAGACGCCATGAATGCCACAGAATTTGTTAGTCCATTTGTATGTTTGTATAGATTGAGGCAAAAACCCTTGTGCACCAACCGTAGACGAGGTGTGTGTTCAACGAGTCCCTTATACGTACATTAATGTAATTACATTTCTCATACTTAAGTTACAACACATAATATAAATGGCCCCCAAATGCTTGTAGACATGCATCTACACGTTCCGTTTGCAAATACATGCAACAATTTAATCGAAGGAATATTCCTGATGAAATTTACAATGGCTTCCTTCAGTTCGAAGGTAGTGTGAGGATTGTCTTTGCAAAATGCGCCTTTCATTGCCCCCCACATACAGTAATCAATGGGTGTAAGGCCGGGTGACCGTGGTAGCGAAATGCGCTTTGAAATCATTCTGTTCCCGTAACCAATCGCACAGCAGCGTCATGGAAACCCGAGCCGTGTGTGCAGTAACGCCGTCGCGTTGGAAGTAGCCGCGGCCAATTTCGTTCTCGTTTAAATGATCAATGAAGGAGTAAACAACCACTTCACAGTAACGTTCCGTGTTGATGGTGTTATCCAAGAATATGGAGCCGATCATCCGATTTCGTGATATGGCGCACCACACAGCAACCTTCTGGTCCTGAAACTGTGTATCCTTGATCTCACGCGGATTATTCACTGTCCAAACGCAGCTGTTTGGATGTTGACGTAACCGGACAAATGAAACCACGCCTTATCGGTAAATATGTGATGTCCAGAAGTGTGTCTCTTAAACCATCGGCAATAGTCAACACGCTTGACATTGTCCCTTTCTTTCAATGCATGCACTGAAGTTACCGTGTATGGAGTGAGGTACAGATGTTTCTTGAGCACTCCACATCTGCTGTGCTGACTAGGTACATTAATACAAAAAATGGGGCGGTTTCATCATTTGCAGTGTAGATGCACAGTGAATTCAGGCCCAATCTGTATAAAACGCCAGCTTTTGACATTCTGATACCAGGCCAGTTTTGGCCTCTTCAAATCCCGTTTTTCCCGTTATTTGCCATAATAGGGATGTCATATCTGCGCCCACATATTTCATCTACCGAACTTTGTAATTGATTTAGATGACATTTGGTATGGTAGGGCCATATTACAATTTTGCGATGGACGTGTAAGGCTGACCTCACCGCCATCTGTGAGCCGATGTGTAGAAAATGTGGGAGCCTCGACCTCTCACAACCATATAGGCCTCCATGGCCTGTTACTGCTATAGCTAACCTAGTAATGGGTGAACATGCTACAGTATTTTATCTGGTGCTAATTTATTTTCTGCTTCCTTTCTGTGCAACGTAAGAGTGAAAACTACAGCCTAGTCAGGCTAAAGAAAAACACCCATCGGTCCATTATCAAACATCATATGTTGCCATATTCGCAACTCAACACCTAGCAACTGCGAATATAGAATTGCATCCTTGTTTGAGCCAGATATGACCTAGCAAAGATTTACTCCAGAATTGTTCAATTGATGAATGTCAGTATTGTAATCCACTAGAAATCATTGTAAATAAGGGCCCATATGAATGAATGAATGTACAAGGGGTTGGCCCTTGCACCGCGACCACAGTGATCTGTTGTGCCTCCTCTTCTGATTATCCCCTCAACAATCCTGCGCTTCGAATGAAGCATAGGATTATGTATGTGGGGACGTCAAAATAGTCACTTGGTTCCATAAAATATTCACTCAAGTGATGCAAATGGGCCCATATAAGAAGAAAGATGATTTGCAATTCAAAAAGAGTATTTGCTAAACAGTTACAGTGACCTGATGATGGCGAGTTAAAATAGTCGAAACATGTTGTGATATTAATTAAACAAATTGAATGTTATACATTCTTTGAGTTGTGTTAGATGGAACAAGTGTAATAGAATATTTTACAAATATGCAACAGGATGCACTCTGTAAAGAGAGATCCAGAACCATTCTGACAGACATGTTGATGTATTGGTGCTGTGTTCTGGAAGTACGTATTGGTTACCAGCTCACCTTATGATTTTTGGTGGTTTTCCTCTGTCTTTCCAGTTTAATGGAGGAATAGTACTCTGGAATGGGCCGTGCTTATTTCATTTCAAGCTCTTACCCAAGTTCTGCTTATGATCATATTCCCATGACATTCAACACTACAAAACCTCTGCAATTTTAAGCATCATCATTACAAAGTCAAAGAATCCACCACATCGATCCCATTGTCTTTCATTCTGTATATCCTCAGTAGGCAAAGAATTCAAATAAATAAATTAATGATCTCAGAAGTTTAAACATGGGATATGAATTATTGTTCCAGCTGAGGAGGCACCGGTTGACATGTCCCCAGACTCAGGTATTAATGAACTACATGGATTAACCCCTGAGGAGCAGGAGCGTCAACGCCAGGAATGGCAACAGGAACTTACAATGGTATGTTTTGTTTACAAGTGGTAGGAGGAATATTACACTCTGTAATACTTTGACAGTTGTGATCTGCTTGCAGATTCCCACAAATTTGAATAGGTGGAAGAACTACTTCTCTCAGTTATTGAATGTACTTGGGGTCAGTGATGTTAGGCAGACAGAAATGTATACAGCTGTTCCGTTAGTACCTGATCCTAGCCCTTTTGAGGTTGAAAGTGCTATTGCAAAATTGATTTGTAGATTTCAAGAAAGTGTATGATTTGGTTGGGAGGGAAGTATTGTACAGTATTCTGATACAGTTTGGGATACCTATGAAACTAGTTAAGCTGATTAAAATGTGTTTAAATGAAATGTATAGTAAAGTCTGTATAGGTAAACATTTGTCTCGTAAAGTTCCTATCCAGAATGTTCTAAGACAAGGAGATGCTTCATGGCCACTCTTCAACTTTGCTTTAGAATATGCCATTAGGAAGGTCCAGGGAAACCAGGTGAGACTGAAATTAAACGGGCACATCAGCTGTTAGTCTATGCCAGTGATGTGAATCTACTGGGTGATAATGTAGATACCATAAAGAAAAACACACAGACTTTAATTGATGCAAGTAAGGAGGTTGGTCTAGAAGTAAACACTGAGAAAACTAAGTATATGTTTCTGTCTCATCACCATAATGCAGGGCAAAATCATGACATAATGATAGGAAACAGATGTTTTGAAAATGTGGCACAATTAAGATATTTGGGAACAACGATAACAGATCGAAACCTGATTCAGGAGGAAATTAAGAGGCAATTGAACTCGGGTAATGCTTGCTACCATTCAGTCCAGAACCTTTTGTCTTCTCGTCTGCTGTCCAAAAAATAAAAATTAGAATATACAGAACTATAATTTTGCCCGTGGTTCTGTATGGGCGTGAAACTTGGTCTCTAACATTAAGTGAGGAACGTAGACCGAGGGTGTTTGAGAACAGGGTGTTGAGGAGAATATTTGGACCGAAGAGAGATGAAGTGACAGAAGGTTGGAGAAAACTGCATAATGAGGAGCTTCATAACTTGTACTCTTCTCCAAGTACAATTAGAATGATCAAGTCAAGGAGGATGAGGTGGGCAGGGCATGTAGCATGAATGGGGGAGACGAGGAATGCATATAGGATATTGGTGGCATAGCCAGAAGGAAAGAGACTACTGGGAAGACTAAGGCGTAGGTGGGTGGACAATATTAAAATGGATCTTAGAGAGATAGGATGGAATGGTGTGTATTGGACTGATCTGGCTCAGGATATGGATCAGTGGAGGGCTCTTGTTAACACAGTAATGAACCTTCAGGTTCCATAAAATGCTGGGAAATTCTTGAGTAACTGCAGATTTGTCTTCTCCTCAAGAAGGGATCAGCTCCATAAGTAAGTAAATAATCCTCTGTTACATTTTTTTTGTGACCAGTTAGTGCCATTTTAGACTGTACTTTGCCTGGAGTATACTAATCTGTATTTTCCTAGTATTTTTTATTTTCTTTTCATTATGCTGTCAACATACAGGTATAGATATTTGTATTTTGATGTATGTTCACAAATATGCCAAATCATTACAGTGGTACTTATAGTTACCAGTGAACAGTACAGCTTATGTTATTGAGGGAATCTGTTTCATTGCCCTGAAACCAAAACAGTCCTTTCAAGACATGCCGGAACTGCTTTATGGTATGATTATGTTCCAGAGTGTTCATGTAGTAGTATATTCAAGACATACAAACTGTAAAAGCGACAATGAGAGGTCTCAGATTTATTAATGCAGATAATTATAATATTGTTAAGGTAAAATCACTGAAAAAATGTGTACAGATCACACTGTATCTCATCATCTCATCAAGCTGTATACTATCATGTAAGTACCCAACATCTGATGCAGGTGTTGAGAGAAAATTGTCACCAGACAGCAGTTTATTGGGGTGGAACTGTTACCACAGTTCATCAGTGAATAATTATAATGTTCATAGGTTGAACAGGAGATCCAAACACTTCGCCAGGTTCTTGCATCAAAAGTGAAGATGTCACAGGAACTGAAGCGGAAGCTGGGCATCAGTGTTTGGAAGGAATTCCAAGATGACATGTCACAGGGTATTCGCAATGTCAAGGAGTCCAATGTGTAAGTACTGATACTATTACATACTAGTAAATACATAGCATTATTTAATAGATATTGCTAGAAATGCTTCTTAATCTTACTTCTGTGTGTATGTCAGGTCCCAGTTTTCTTCTTTAATTCTTTGTTGCTTTAAACATGTTTATTTTAAGTATTTTCATGTGTATGAGTGACTGTAGATGGGGTTTGGATTGGTAATTGTATTTATTGAGTACATAAAGATTGTAGCTACAAGTAAGTGTAGTGCTATCGGTAATTCACACACTTTAAAATTCACTACAGCAAACACTAATTCGTTTCAGTCTGTTTTGTCTTCACCAGTCATCTGGTAACAGCTTCCAGTTCTGTAGCTTCCTCAGCTTCCGTGTTCATGCCTTTACTGGCTGGCGACTGTCTCCCAACTAATTAAACTCTAGACTTGTCCTGCTTATAACACCACAGCATGGACTGCATAGAAAACACCGTTTCCAACAGTTCTTCTGTTGTTACATCAGACAGCTGTCGCATGGATCGCGTAGAGAACACCTCTTCCCACTTAGTCCGTTGGTGCATGTCAGGAATCTGTTGGCTAGCAGTGGTCATTGTGTACAGAGTCATTATTTAGCAACAGGTCTACATGCTACAGTATGTAGCATTTAACACATTCATTGCAGAATTTTTAAATGTCAGTTTAGACCTGCTAGTGAAGTATCCATGGGTAAACCCATAAACAACATTTTTATGTATTTCATGCACAAATTCTGTGAGATAAATGCTTAATGGGGAGATCTTGTTTATAGTTTATCTAGTCATAGTTCATCTTCAAACCCACTGAGCAGCTCTCGAAAAAATTTAATATGGGGAGTATGTTCTAAAAGTTATTTGGTGAGCTTGCTTTTAGTTAATATTGATCAGGTATTAACAGCAGACTGTAATTGCCCTTTGTGAATCATCTTGGAAATGGATGATCATGCAGAAAATTTGTATGTCATAAAATATGCTTCCTATTAAAATCGATTTCTTTTACTTGAAGTAATTTTTGATACATTATATGTGTAACAGAGTACATGAACAATTATTTTTATGACTGAAAAACCTTACATTTAACAAACAAACAAACAAACAAGTGAACAAAGTAACTGAGAGACCACTGCTTGTTGACAAAGTTAGTGCCAACTTTAGCTGATAGAGGGTGTTGTGTGGTCAGCACAATGAATCCCCATGCCTGTTAATTTCGGTTTCCTAGAACAGAGCTGCTATTTCCTTGGAATAGCTCCTCAGTTATCCTCACGAGGCTCAGTGGACCCTGTTCCAGATCCACTACTTCTCAGAAAATCTGATAGTGCCGGGAATCAAACCCAGACCTCTGGATCTGTAGCCAGGAGCTCTGACAACCAGACCACAGAACATGTCATAATAAATTGATAGGAAGACCAATAAGATATTCTGAATCAGAAATGGATGGAAATGTGTTCTGCACTGCAGTATTCCCTTCTGCTGTTGTTTTGTTATTAAAAAATACTTCAAATGTATATGTATATCAAAAATAGATACAAATTCAGATATATTAAATTTAAAACTATAATCTGTCAGGCATTTGCAATGAGTTATTGAAGAAGGGCTAAATATTTTTATGGCTGATCTGAAATGTTATGAGCCAACTTTGGTTTTGGTCAGATGCCCTGGTGATAGCTCTTCTAATTGGTATTGAATGTCCTAAGCGGCTAGGTTTAGTTGTGACATAAACCACCAGACTTATAGTTTCCGTGTCTTTGGATTTGAAGGCATGCCAGTCAGTCATAAGTAGTGACAACTTAATTAATTAATAACAGTTAACAGTATTCATGCAGGAAGGAGCCAAAACCTTTCAAGTGTTATGATAAAAAATAAACCTTTAGTATGTTGGATACATATCTCCTTTAGAAAAATGAGGAAATAATTTTTATATGCCTTACAGGTGATTTTGTAAGAAATTTTTAATTTATTGTTTAATCTTAGTTTCATGAATGACACTGTTAGTATAATGTGACAATGCGTAGCATCAGAAAACATCTCTGAGAAGTAAATGGTTCCTTTAAAAGTTCTGGGACAGGAGACGCTTCACAAATCTGGTATCACCGAGAGACCTTTAGATGCAGTTGTCTTCAGAATGTTTTTCCGCAGTTACACTGAAAAAGAAGCACAATATCTCTTAGAGGACAGTCTTTTGAAGGTCTTGAATTTTTGCCGCATTCTTGAACAGCTTATAAGCTAGTCCTTTATCCAGTGAAATAGATAGAAATTGCATTTTGCAGGATAGGGAGATTACAGAGGGTGGGGAAGCCTTGCCATGGCGCTATGCTTGGTGAGTTGCTACTGCACAATTAGTGATCAATATGTAGGACCCTTGTCATGCAGGAGCACTTAGGTTTTAGCAAGCTTCAGGAAACCATCCTCCTGTAGATGATCTTGTGTTGCACTTCGTTTTGTTGTTTGTACTTCTCGTAGTGTCAGGAATAAACTCATGGTGCACAATGCCTTGCCATTTGAAAGAGACTTCCAGACTCACCTTTCCTTTGAGTATTTCTGCTAGAACTTAGTTTTTCTTGATATCTGTTATATCCTTTTCATGGAGGATTTTGTATATTTTAAGGATCATGCGGGAAAGACCAAATTTTGTCAACTGTAACTTTCTGTTTGAGAAAATCTGCTGAAATGATTAACCAGTCACTGATCCTCACACCTGATACATTTATCACATTGTTCCTGTGTTGGCAGTCTTTATATTGTGTGGTGGCAGGTGTTGTACATATATATATATACATGTATATTTCTTCATGTCCTGTTAAGGATGGTGTTACTGTAACTGACATATGAAGTTCACCAAGAAGATCTAGAGATAAAGTTATAGGTTTGTGTTTGGGAGGTTCTCAGTTTGAATCTCAGCCAGGATACTGGCTATTATGACTGGGGTTCTTTGTGGTTTGCCTCAGTTTCTGGGGGAATAACTCAATTAGGCTTTGACCAGTTCCTTCCAAACCCTTTTCCAGTCATTATTCACCGGTCTTCCTTCTATCTGATGCTAAAATAATCTACACACTGACAGTACTGGTATGTAAACTACTGAAGAAACCATCTAAAATCCCAATTTTCTGTATAATTGTTTTTATTGTTTGACGCTCAGTCCGCATTACCTCCTACCTCTGTCACTTATATCCTTGTTCTTTGATGTTGCTGCCCATGTGCTCCATAGAGCATCTTCTAACAATTCATGGCCTTCCTTGAGCCTGTTATGCCACAACTTTAATATGACATGCCATATGTCATCGAGACTATCTGTAGTATTGATGTTATCAATTTACATAAAAAATGCCGAATTTTTATGTTAGCTTGCTGTTCAGGGTGATTCATTCCCCACCCCACCCCACAGCCTTCCTCACCTTGCATTCTGCCCTGAGTTTATTGTGTTTCCTATGCTCATTGGCAATTCAGTATTTCTGCTTTGTGTTTAGAACTAGCATAGAAGGTCTGAAATAAAGTTTCCGAACTCGGCAGCAGTGGACAGAAACCTTAGCATGGTTTGATGACGTTGGCCTATCAGTGTTTCACAGCTATGTTGTTGCTGATCTATGGCAGCCTCTTTCTGAGTGGAGTATATTATTGTGTGAATGTGTTTAGGTGTGCCGTCACAAGAATGTCAGAGCTTGAATTAGAGCAACAAATGAACATTAAATTTTTGTTAAACTTGGCAAGAGTGGAAGTGAAATCAGAGAGATGTTGGTGCAAGTTTATGGGAACTTATTTCTGTTCCTGAAGATAAGGGATATATTAAAAAAAAAGGCATTTTGATGACATTCATGACATCAGGAATATTTTGATGGCAGCTGTGAAGCCCATTTCACAGAACCAGTTTCGAAATTGTTTTGAAGGGTGGACTAGGCACTGGCATCAGTGCATAGCTTCCCAATGGGAGTAATTTGAAGGTGACCACAGTGATATTCAGCAATGAGGTAGGTAGCACTTTTACCGCGATGAGTTTGCGAACTTTATTGTCAGACCACGGACATATACTTCAGCATTTCAAAAGATTAATTACTTAAGCTGAAAGTGGTAGATTTGCATCAGTACCTATATTGATATTATAGCTTTCTCTTTTGTAGACAAATTTTATTACAAACATTAATATGAGTTTACCTAACACTGTTAGTGCCAAGTCTAATGCTACATTCTATTCTAGAATTGCCAGACTGTTTCATAAATAAAAGACAGGGAAGTGTAAGCTTAAATCACAAGGTTTTGAGGATTGACACGTTTTGACCCCCCTGTATTAGAAAAGTGTTTTTGGAATGCCATCTGTCTGTTTTATGTGCCTTGCTAATGCCTGGATGTTTGGTTGGATTTGATTTATGTTCAGGTATTAAGAATTTATCTGTCATAGGTCAGTGTCGGGTGAATATAAACCTTCTAGCTTCAAGAATAAGGCCCTTTCAGACAACCCCCCATAAAATGGTGACTTTCTGAAAGATGGCTCCTTTGTCAGTTTTCTCAGAGCTGCCTCTTATAATTGTGATTAAATTAGAGTTATTTATGAGACCTTCTCCTTAAATAAAAGTGATTGGGCAGTATCTTCAGGAAAATAATAGTATGTGAACTAGGGTTCTGAATGTGAAATGTTGATTTTGTTCAATCTGGCTTTATGGTCGGACATATTTCATTATTGTTCGGTATTTGATAACAGTGGTCTGTTGGGCAGAAATCAGTTTTACTTCCAAGGTAATGTAGGCTAGGTCAGTCATATATGAGGAAGTATGTGCATTGTCTTTGCACCAAATTTTTATTTAGTCTGTGACTCTTTCACGACTGTTGTAGCATGTATTTTTCTTTTGCAATATGTGTTTCCTGTTCTTTTCTCTTTTTGTGGCTGATGGTTTGTTTACTACATTTTTGCACCAGATATCAAAATGTTGAAGGCAAGATAGAACAAATTAGCAAAGCAGTCACTGATGCACCAATGTAAGTATTTGTGAAGTCTGAAAATTTTCTATTTTGATTACTTCTTCTCAGTGTTCTGAAAGTGAATGTGTGTTATATACAGTTTTTGAACACTGATAATGTCATTGTACATGCAGTTAGTGTTTATGAAACCTGACTGTCCAATCTGTGTGACATAAATATTTGTTTTTGTAGTCTGGAAAATAATGATGTGTCAAGTAGGAAGTAAGCATGTACACGAAGTCTGGCTTCATAACTACTGTCCATCTGTACAGTAATACTGACACAATACCCAAAAACATCTTTCATTGCAAGGGAGAAACCTACATTTAGAGTGTTTCAACACATTGTGTTCTTAAGGAAAAAGAAAGAAATAGGAAGTAACAGGAGGATCAGGAAATTATTTAATGGTAGTGATTAAGTACTGGAGGATAATATTTGAAATATAGAATGCATGTGGGAGATGAGAATCACATACAAAATTGAAGTGAGAAAATCATAAAGGACAGATATTGCTTGAGAGACCGAGGTATAGATGGCAGTAATGTTAAATTGGGCCTTGAAGAAATGAGGTCTGATGGTGTAAACTGCATTCATCCTGCTCATGGTAGGTTTCAGTGGATATCTCTTGTGAACACAGTAGACCTACTAAAACTTTATATTTCATAAGAGCAGAGTTTCCTGATCAACTGAGCAACGTCAGCTTTCCATTGACTCAGTTGTCTATATGAATGAATGCATGCATGCGTAAGGGTGGGCCATATTAAAGCAGCTCTTGCATTGTAACCTTCAATAATCTGTTGTGCTTCCCCCTTTTTTTATTAGCCCTTTATCAATCCTACACTTCGAATGAAATGTCGGTCTCTGTTTATCAGGGTGTCATAGTAGTCACTTGGTTCCATAAAAAACTGGCCCGGGTGGCAAAATCTTAAATCACATACGATATGTGTGGCTAATTCATATTTTTTCCAGGCACCATTCATGAGTGTGGCAATCCCAGTTCGAAAAGGTGTCCTTTTAGGTGACAGTGTCATGTAAATAGTCATACTACCGCTCTTAATTGTTCTCTGTTTAATTTTAAGAGATCCTTTGTATATGAATGTGTGTTATTGACTTGTAAAAGAAAGACTGAAACTAAGTTGAATCTTGCAATGCTTCACCATTCCTCTTGTGGCTTATTTATCATGAGAAAACATTCCTTATAATTTCTCTATTAAGTAGAAAATTCTGTTCTTCCATCATCAGGGGTATTCGCCCATCTTAAAAAAGTTTTGACAGTTTTGCATTTCATGTTTAAAATATTGAATTGTCTGATACTGAAGTAACAGGAAGGTTTTCTGTTTGGAGGTTAATTTAATTAAATCATAATATACGATAGATATAGCTTGTGTATGTTGGTTTTTATAAGAGGTGAGAATTATTTTATAAAAATTTTGTTGTAGTATGTTACTCTGCACATAAGAGAAGTATTACTACATTGCAACCTCAGTGTAATGAGAACTTATAAAATTCATAAAAAACTAGTCAGGTTATTGTCTCCTACCCCACACCACATGTTAACTAAAAGTCAGTGTTGAAAATGACATTCTGCTACCCTCATCTGGATTTTCATATGCCCAGAGTGTGTGAATTCCTTATGTTGGTAATACTGTCGAGGGTACATTGAACCTCATCCTTGAACAGAATGCATAACTGTGATTACAGCCATTCACAAAATTACAGTAAAACTTGGTTATAGCAACATCGGTTTCTGTGACACCTTGTCTATTGCGTCAAATATTCAATGGTACGAACTAATTCCTCATAAAGCAACTGTTTTTATACCTTGCTTAGTACGACATGCACAAATGCATCAACCTCGTATGTAACGTCATTTTCATTCCTGAATTTCTCTGATATCGTGGGAAAGTTCGATGTGTCTGCCCACCCTCACTTTCTCTACTTGCTGACATGACTGTCCTGGAAGAATACGACCGCGGGCTGTAAGAGGAGCGTGGGTTTTATGCGAAGACAAGGGTGTGGGGTGGGACTGCGTGAATAGTGCAAGAGGACACAGCAGGTTGTTAACTGCATTCCTTTCCTAGAATCTCATCTAACAGGACCTCACATTGTCTACTTACCCTATAGTGTTCCTGCCTAAACCCAGAGAAGTGCAGTAGCGAAAACATGGCAATGAAAAGGAAAGTTTTAAGCATTGAAGAGAAAGTTAAAGTGCTTCGTGAAATAGAAAATGGAAGGAAAAAAGCTGATGTATGCCGCGAATTTGGTTTGGTGAATTCTACAGTACAAACGATATGGAGAATCCATATTAATTCCACGTTAATGTTACGTTAGTCTGTACTTAACTACGCATTTCACTAAAAAATTCAACATTTTAACATTTTTGGTAGATTTTTACGTGACTAACATAAGGCTACTGTGGAAGTGCCCATTTCGGTTACAACACATTCGTTTATAACGACACTATTTTTAGGTCCCTTTGATGACGTAACCAAGTTCTACTGTATATCTGGGGTGATCTTCCAGTAAGAGGTGTGGTACTCATTGGAGGTGATACAGATAGAAACCATCATGGAAGGGAATTCTCAATACCTGTGTCTGTGCTTCACCAGTCATCCTGGAAATTCTGTGTGTACTTGCTTGGGCTTGCATCTTCTCCATTCTTTCATTCACATTCTTTCTCTTGTGGGAAGGAACCAGCCTTCCTCAAAGTTTTGTGTGGGTTCTTAAATGGTTTTCATTGTGGAATTCTCTGAAGTGGATATCTTTGCCAGTATTCCACCACAGCAGCCCTGCCATTTCCATTGCAGAAACTGTATACAAAATGCATTTCGGCATATTCTCCATATATAAATGTGTTAGGCATTTTGACTGCAGTCACACTGCAACACAACAGTGCCACCCTAGCCTAGACAGTACACAAGCAGGAACTCAGTTGTGTTACAGCAACTCTAGCTCACTCCACTAGTGCTTTGCTCAGTAAGTGTCAAATCAGCTTATAGTTTATTAGACATTTTTGCTCCAGATGACCTATAGAGAGCACTGGAGAGTGATCGATGCCATACGATTTGTGAGCGGGCCCGAGAGACAGGATTAGCACATACGACTGTGCTTCACATTCTGAAGCAACGCCTGGGCATGAGAAAAATTGCATCACAGTTGGTTTCAAGTGATTTGACAGAAGTGCAGAAATGGCTATGTTACGATGCTGCTCGTAACCACTTGGAGTGCTATGAGTGCAAAGGAGAGGTTTTCTTACGCCGTACCATTACGCTGGATGAGACATGGGCGAAATCGTACTCGTACGAGCCACAAATGAAATGCCAATCGAACGAATGGCGTCATTACGGGTCACCACGAAAATGAAAAGTTCGTCAGAACCCCAACAGTGTGAAAGTTGTGGTGATTCTCATGTACAACTGTGATGGTGTTATCCTAATGCATACCATTCCCCGACAGCAGACCGTCAGTGCGCAGCATTACTGTTCATTTTTGGAACACACCCTGCGACCAGCTTTGAGAAAGAAGTGGCGACACTTTCTTCAGAACCCACCCATCGTTTTGCAGGAGAATGCTCGGCCACATGCAGCGCAAGCTGTGGCTGATTTGTTCGATCGATGGGGCTGGAAAGTGCTGTACCATCCATCATACTCCCCATACTCAAGCCCTTGTGACTTCGACTTGATTCCTAAGATGAGGAAACCACTTCGTGGCATTCGCTTCAGAACTGTTCCAGAGATTCTTAAGGCAGTAGACCACTCCATTCGAACTATCAGCACAACAGGCGCTGCTAAAGGTATCCTACGACTTCCACATCGCTGGCAACGAGTTGTACACAATGCTGGTGACTACATTGAAGGACAGTAAACTTCAAAACATGCATCTATTTTGTATCAGTTGGAAATAAATAGTTTCCACTATTAAGTTCCAACCCTCATATAAAAGACACCTAAAATATATTAGTCACTAAAAGTATAACTTTAATACTTTAAAATTTTATTAAATATCCTAAAATGTCATTAAGACACTGCAGGTACATCTTATACACTAAAAGTGACTATCAAAATACTTCAAAATGTCTTTCTGTTTTACATAATGTTTCTTTCCAATTTTTGCAACATGTTTTGGCCGCATATGTGCCATCATCAGGCAACTTTTAATTTGTGGGGAGACCACTGCACTGTTCACTTGTCTCTCGTGCTCCCGTGCACATCGTCATTTTGTTGTAGCTCATATCTAGAATACTGTTGTTGTATTCTTTTTTCGTATGTCGTTTTGTCCTGTATATGTTTTTGGTGCTGTCTTCATGTATATGCTTTATCGAAAGTGTACTTGAATAATAAGAATAATACTTCTCATACAAGATTTTCCATGGCATTCTGTTAGCTTCCATTCTTTCTACCTGTCCCAGCCAGTCAATTCTTCTTGCCTTTATAAATCTAACTGTATGTCTTATTTCTTCACTCTCTCATCTATTTCTTCATTGTTTCTAATTCTCCACTGCTCTTCTTATTTTATTGGCCCATATATTTTCCTAATAATTTTTCTTTCAAATTTTCTTAAATTGTTTTCATCCTTTTTCTTTAACACCCATGTCTCACTACTATAGTAAGGGGAAATCAAGCATGAATAAACAAACAGTAATAAGTAAGTAAGATTTCAGGTTCCCCAGCATTGGTTATGAAAAGTACTTTTTATTGGGATATAATGTTATGTAGTCCGATGAATGTCAACCGACATTTTGAAGAAGTATATCCCCCCATCTTCAGGGTTGAAGAATAAGCTTAGCATGAAAGCAGGTGGAAAGCAGAACCAGATTGTAACTGAGAATTGTAATGTCAGCATTTCCTTCACCTGCCTTATAATAACAGTAGTTTAATTCCATATTCAGTTTATGATAGTGACTTCATTGAATGCTGATTTTTTAGGTATCAGAAAACAGAATCTGTAATTAAGACAACAGCAGAGAAAACTACATCTATTCTGGGTGGATTTGGATCATCTGTAAGCACGAAGCTTGGACAGCTCAAGAATTCAGAATCATTCCGCTCTCTTGAGGAGAAAGTTGGTTCAGCATACGAGAATGTTAAGGTGACTCAATCATCATTACTAACCCTTCATATCTGGAGTGTATGAGCTTTGTTGAGGAAAGTTATTGATTATGTTTAGGGATGATATTTATCTACTTTTTCTGTTCCTAGAATAGTGTGAGATGTGGAAATAATGTTTTAATTTTGTATATAGTGGCATACAGTGCTTTTTTTTT